AGCATTTCATTCCAAAAATACCACTATCTCATCTTTCTAAATGAACTTTTTCCTACCTTTTTCTTTTCCCAGCAACCAAACAGATTGTTTTCCAAAATCACCAACAAACAAAACAAATGAATTAGGTATAAAAATTAAAAAGGGTAATGGGTTTACCTGGATTGGACCAGAGAAGAATCGCAATCGAAGCAGCAAAAGGAACGACAGAATTCTGAAGAACAACTCGTTTAGAGATTGTTGTAAACAGATGAAGAGCAACATTGTTAGTAGAACTAATAACACCTTTTGGTTTTCTAATGAATCCAATTTGTTGGACGATTTGATTTGAGGATGAAGAAGATGTTTCGATGGATGTTGAAGTTTGACAGTGGTGGATGGTATCCGAAAGGAAGAGTCCAGTGGAGGTGAGATGGAAGAGAGAATCATGATTTTGAGCTCTCTCTCTCTCTCTCTCTCTCTCTCTTTGAGAGTGGATTTAAATAGGGGTGAGGAGAGATGATAGGAAGTGAGCGGTTAATATGGCCGCTGGAAATCTAGTTAAATTTATGGCGTGTCGTGTGTTCATTGGTCCAACACCCTTTAAACCGTTGGCATCTGTTGAGTTTTCCGGCTGGTGAATGGGTATTTGCACTGTGGCCCATTTTTTAAAGGGATTTTTATTGATAAGTCCAATTAAAAAGTGTTTTAATCTAAGAAGGTTATGAAGAAATTTTTTAATCCATTTATCCCATGTATGTATAATTTTATTCCATAAAATCATTTTCTTGATTTACACTATTTTCTAGACACTTATACCTTTATATTCATTTTGATATCTTTATAAATATTTTTTGAACGATTAGCAATTTAATGATGTGAACATTTATATTTTAAAATTCACATCGGTAGGAATGTAAAATTAGCCCGTGGGCGGACCGAAACCCGCCTGCGAGCCGGGGCGGCCCGCCCGTTGACAATGTGAATATTCACATTAACATATTAACATTCACATTAATAGGAGTGTAAAATTAGCCCGCGTCTCGTGGCGGCGCGAAACCCGCTCGCTGCCCAAGGGCGGTCCGGGGCGGGCCCGGTCCGGCCCATTGACAATGTGAATATTCACATTGACATATTAACATTCATATTGATAAGAGTATAAAATTGGCCCGGCCCATGGGGCCCAAAAGCCCGCCCGCGGCCCGGGGAGGGTCGGCCCGGCCCGGTCCATTGACAATATGAATATTCATATTGCATGTTAACATTCACATTGATGGAAGTGTAAAATTAGCTCGCACCTCGTGGCTGCCGAAACCTGCCCACGGCCCGTGGGCGGCCCGGGGCGAACCGGCCCGGTCTGTTGACAATGTGAATATTCACATTGACATGTTAACATTCATATTGATAATAGTATAAAATTGGCCAGCAGCCCAGGGTGGGCCCGACTCGGCCCGGCCCGTTGACAATGTGAATATTCACATTGACATGTTAACATTCACATTAATAGGAGTATAAAATTGGCCGCCGTCCCGTGGCGGCGTGAAACCCACCCGCGGCCATGGGCGGCCCGGGACGGGCCCGCGTCCGGCCTGTTGACAATGTGAATATTCACACTGACATGTTAACATTCACATTGATAAGAGTGTAAAATTGGCCCACAGCCCGTGGGCTGCTCGAAGCCCGACCGAAGTCTGAGGCGGGCTTGGCCCGACCCGTGACAATGTGAATATTCACATTGACATGTTAACATTCACATTGATAGGAGTGTAAAATTAGCCCGCGCCCCGTGGTTGTCCGAAACCCGTCCACGGCTCGTGGCGACCCGGGCCGGGCCGGGCCCGGCCTGTTGACAATGTGAATATTCACATTGACATGTTAATATTCACATTGATAGAGTGTAAAATTGGTCCGTGACCGTGGCAGCCTGAAGCCCGACCTCGGGTCGGGACGGTCCCGGTTCGTTAGCAATGTGAATATTCACATTGACATGTCAACATTCACATTGATAGGAGTGTAAAATTGGCCCACAACCCGAGGCTGGCTTGGCCCGACCCGTGACAATGTGAATATTCACATTGACATGTTAACATTAACATTAATAGGACTGTAAAATTTGTCTGCTGCCCGAAGCTCGCCCATGTCCGAGGTAGGACCGGACCCAAACCCGAGCCGCCCCGGGCCGCCCATGGGACGCGAGTCAATTTTACACCCTTATCAATGTGAATGTTAACATGTCAATGTGAATATTCACATTGTCAACAGGCCAGGCCGGGCCGCCTTGGGCCGCCCATGGGCCGTGGGCGGGTTTCGGGCAGCCACGGGGCACGGGTTATTGTTACACTCTTATCAATATGAATGTTAACATTTTAATGTGAATATTCACGTTGTCAACGGGCCGGGCTTCGGGCTACCCACGGGTCACGGGCCAATTTTACACTGTTATCAATGTTAATGTTAATATGTCAATGTGAATATTCACATTGTCAACGGGCCGGCCGGGCCCGCCCTGGGCAGCGGGCGGGCTTCGGCCGCCCACGGGACACGGGCCAATTTTACACTCCTATTAATGTGAATGTTAATATGTCAATGTGAATATTCACATTGTCAACGGGTTGGGCCGGGCTCGCCCCGGGCCGCCCATGGGACGTGAGTCAATTTTACACTCTTATCAATGTGAATGTTAACATGTCAATGTGAATATTCACATTGTTAACAGGCCGGGCCGGGCCGGCCCCGGGCCGTCCACGGGCTGTGGGCTAGTTTCGGGCAGCCACGGGGCGCGAGCTAATTTTATACTCTTATCAATGTGAATGTTAACATGTCAATGTGAATATTCACATTATCAATGAGTCGGGCCGGACCCGCCCAGGGCAGCCCACGAGTCGCGGGTGGGTTTCGGGCCAACCACAGGCCGCGGGTAATTTTACACTTCTATCAATGTGAATGTTAACATGTCAATGTGAATATTCACATTGTCAACGGACCGGGCCGGGCCGGGCCCGGGCCCTGGCTTCAGACTGCCCACGGGTCACGGCTAATTTTACACTCTGATCAATGTTAATGTTAATATGTCAATGTGAATATTTGCATTATGAACCGACCATCCCAGGCCCGCCCCGGGCCGCTGGTTGGCTTCGGGCCGCCCACGGGCCGCGGGCCAATTTTACACTCCTATCAATGTGAATGTTAACTTGTCAATGTGAATATTCACATTATCAACGGGCCGGGCCTATTTTTTTGGCTTTGGGCCGGCCCGCCCGACTCGAATTTTTCCGGGCACCCACGAGGATCGACATGGGCCAGGCCCCTACACATTGACGATATCATAAGTAGATGAAAAGGGTATTTTGGTCTTCTTACCTCAAATAGGAACATTCACATTTACGGTGTGAACATTGACATTGACGATGTGAATATTCACATTAGGGGTATTTTGGTAATTATGTCACCCATATGACTTATTGAAATATAAGAAAATAATGTGAACTAAATGGAACATAAGTAGATGAAAATGGTATTTTGGTCTTCTTATCTCAATTTGGACCTAATGGAATAGTCAAAAAGAATATGGGTTGGATGGAATAAAGCTCTTAGAAAATGGATTTATAAAAAAAGCTCCATTTTTTAAATTTATTTTTAATTTGGTTTTTCTTTTTTGGCAGTGGCTTTGGTCCAATCCAAGATCGGACTAGACCGTGCTGTTGGGCCTATGGGGGCTCACCATGGGTCCGGTTTTGATAATCTGAACCGTTCAATATGTAAAACTCGTCGAATACTATATGCCTATAAAAAATCACGTTGATCGGATATCGATAGCTATGTGAATAAAATATTTTTTTATCAATCGTTAATTTTTTCACCGTCCATTTTTTTTTAATATAAAACTAATTTGATCACATAGCTATTGATATCCAATCAACGTGATTTCTTTTAAGTATGTAATACTTGATGAGTTCTACACATTGAACGACTCGGATTATCAAAACGGGTCCAAAAAATGGACCCTATGAGTCAAAGATCGGTCCGGCCCGGCCCACGGGCTAAAAAATTAAGCCTAAGCCTAGGGATATTCGGGTTTTGGACGGGCTAGTGGGCCAGGTCCCTGGGCCTGGGCTCGGGCTTTGGGCAAGCCTAAACAATTTTTATTTTTTTCCTAAAATTTTATTATTTTCTATTAAAAATAACACTGAGCCTCTAGCGGGCTGGGCCCACGGGTCGGACCGGGTTTCAAAATGATGGCCCAAGGCCTCGGGTTGGGCTTGGGCTCGGACTCAAACGGGCCGGATTCGTCTCGAGCCGTAGGTGGGTTTCGAGCAGCGGACCAATTTTATACTCCTAACAATTGGTAACGAAGAGATAGATAAAATTATAAACAAATAAATAAATGTAATATGGTATTTTAAATTCTTGTTAACCCTCATTCATAACATGATAAGAAGAATTAAACTATTTTTGAATGGCAAGAAGGTATTATTTTATGATAAAAAATGTTTGAAATTTTAATTTTTTTTTTGATAATTCTATTCACTATGTTAAAATAGATGTAAACTGCACACAAAATGATTGAGGGTCCATTTCTTATGAGTCTAATATGTGACTCATTAGTTGGCCAAATGCTACGCCGTTTTGATTTTACTCACCAACCAAACTACGCCGTTTTCGACCTAGCCATCCTTACGTCTCTAGTTTAATATTCCAACAAAATTTCCATTTCGTTCACAGGTGAGAGAGAGAGAGAGGGAGAGACGAAATTCTCCCTTTTGATCTCTTCTCTTCTCTTCTCTTCCACCATCATCATATTCCTCTTGACTCAATTCTCTGTAATTAATGGTAAGTTTATTGCCTCTCAAGTCTCTCTCTCTCTCTCTCTCTCAATAATCGATGAATTGTCTCTCATATATATATGTTCATGATTGGTACGCTACGCTTCTGATTAATTCGATTAATATATCTCTAATCTTGTCAAAATGTTTCTGTGCGTGTGTATATATATCTATGTAATTTGTTATATCTAGCATGTTCATGATTGGTGATGCGAGGGAATTAAAAGGCAAATTGCAAGTGTTGATTAACGAATGTGAAATGTAGGCAGGCGTATAATAGACAATGTGAATTTTTTTAAATGAAAGATTTGCACTTTTTGGTGATCATAGAAGAAGAGGAAGGAACAAAAAAAAGTGTAGTGGAAATTGGATTTTGTGGTCTTTGTTTGGATTCTACTCATATTTTTCCTTTTTATTTATAGCCCAAATATTGGTGATCATAAAATAGAAAAATCATGTAGTAAGCATTGCCTCTTTTGGTCTGAACCTATGTTACACAGATTTGGGTACGGTCTAGGAAGCACAGGCACGGAATGTGTTGATTTTGAAAACAATTAGGAGATGGACACGTGGACTATTTGGAATTTTTTTTTTGGGTGCTATTTTCGTGAATAAAAAATTAGGGTTGTGAGTGTATTTTAATTTATTTTTCTTCACTTTTTCAACTTTCTAAAATTATAAAAAGAAACCTACAAAGGTGTTTTGAGACGTGTCCAAGCACAGGTCTCAATGTTTTTTACAAAGAAATAAATAAATACATTGACATGCCATGTTATGTATCTGACACATGGACTTGCAAGTCCATGATGTGTTGGTATCCGATAATTGTTGGAATGGCACCCATTTTCGAGTGTCCGTGCACTCTAGGTACAATTGTCTGGTGCATATCATATTTCTTGACATTCTTCTTTAATTGCCTGTGCAAAATAGTGTTTACAAGGTGACACAAAGCATTTCATGCATAATATGGGAGTTCTATGCATCGTCGTATGGTAAACTCAAATTATTAGATGTGCTTGTTGGGTCAGTTTGCCATTACACTTTTCAAGTGTTGAGTGCTTGGCACGAGTATTTCATCACATTTAGAAGAGCTCATGTAATATGGGTCTGAACATGTCTTCAATTTTTTATGCATTCTTTTATAAAGGAGGGCTGGGACACAATGTTAAATCACAAATGAATTGCTTCTCATAAGGTATTTAGAAGAGTTGGTTAGTTGATTCCCCATCCTGCGACTAAATTTTGGCTGTCTGTCCATCATGCCTGTATCATGTATACATTGTATAGCCCTTTAGTAGATAGTTAATGGAAGTGAGACCTATGAAAAATGGGAAATTCAGCTCTGTTAGAAAAACTCTCACATTCCATGGGAGCTTATTTTATCTACCCTCCAAACTCCAATGATCCAAATAATGCTCTGGCTGTTTTCCATGCTTTATTCAACTTAAAGTTTCTTATTCTATCTTAATGCATCTCTCTTATTAGAGATATTGTCAACAATCACATGAATTATTCTTTGACTTACTTCCTCATGTGGGCCTTCTACTGTAGGTTCGATTTGAGGAATTTGTACTGTTGACAATTAAAGCCAGAAGTAGACATCTTTTAAGGCTCAAGTTCTTGACGAAGAGTAAGCATATTTGGTTTTCTGATAAGTGATTTTATGACAAGTAAACTTTGTGTGGTTCAAACTTCATAAAAACAGCCATTACTGCACTTTTGCGTATCAAGCTTGCTGCTACCTCTTGCTATGTGGAGTTCTTTCTCTAATAAGATTCGAAGCCTTGGTCAGAAGAAAAACTTTGTTGAAACAAGTCGACCTTGTTTAGAATTCTCGGATGATGAGACATCTTCAAATGCCAATGCAGAGGAAGGACTGGAATGTCCAATATGCTGTGAATCCTTTAACATTGTTGAGAATGTGCCCTATGTCTTATGGTGTGGCCACACCCTATGCAAAAACTGTGTCTTAGGGCTCAGTTGGGCTGCCTTGGAATTCTCCAATCAACAAATCCGTATTCCGTTCTTCATTTCCTGCCCATGGTGCCATTTGTTAACACTCCGACTGGTTTGCAATGGAAATCTCAAATTTCCTCGCAAGAATTTCTTTCTCCTCTGGATGATTGAGAGCTTGAACGGAGACAGAATGAAGTCTCCTTTGTCCATCAGTGGGAACCATCCATCTATTTGGTCACCTAGAAGCCCCTTAGCTTTTGGAAACCAATTTAACAACAATAGCCTCAGAAGAACCTCACTCACTCATCGCCTAGGACGTTCGGGGACTAACAGTAATAATGATAGCCACACCAATACTAGCCTTAATGTGGAGAGGAACCATCCTTCCCTTAACAAATTCTTTCACTTTACAACCAAGTTCCCACTGGTGATTATACTTCTTCTGATTGTTGGTTTTGCACTGCCTGCCAGTGCTACCATCTTGGTCCTGTACTTGATAATTACAGTTTTTTTTGCAATCCCGTCTTTTCTGCTACTGTACTTTGCTTTCCCTGGTTTGGATTGGCTGGTAAGAGAAATCACTTCCTGAAATTGTCATTGGTTCCGCAATACATATATTTCTTTTCATACTACATGATATGTATATGATATGTATCGCGTTTTGTACAATTTTGACAACACTGGGTAAGAAAGCTTTGTAGCCTGAACATGACTTTGTCTTTGTTTGCCTGTATGGTCACACTGCATTTCAAGGATTTAAATTTCTAGCACCAATTTCAGTGCCTCTCATTTAGTGATTCAACTGTTTTTAGTTAAACTCTTTGATGTCAAGTAACATTTATGGGTTTTTGTGATGGAAGTGGATGATTCTGGAGTTTCCAAGGATGGGATTTTGTGCAATTAGATCCATAGTTTGTGTGTTGTAGTGATATCCACTGTACATCTGCTTGAAAAAATTGGTTGATAGATCACATATTGTAACAGGGCTTGTACTACAAGCACAATGCATGTAGAATATAGCTAGTAAAGTGATTGAGTGGTGATATATATTTGTACAATATTTTTCTTATTTTATATGTGGAATTCACAAGGTTCAGCTATGCTTTTATTTGATTTGATTTTATATTATTACATTATTATTATTATTATTATTATTTGAAGTTGTCATATATTCAGTAGTTAGAAATATTCTATCACAAAATTTGGGAGTAATGAATACTTTCAATTAATTACATTTTTTTTAGTTGTTGAATTATTTTCCCCTTCCTTGTTGGCATAATTAGAGGATTAATTATACTTTTGACTCACTTTGTGTCATTTTGTTTCGCAACATTTTAGTTGTGTTAATTTTGTTCTAAATGTATTAAAATGGCAGGACTATGCTGAAATACATATTGAAGTTTGAGAATGTAATTGTTAAATTTAGAAAATAAGAAACCAATGTTAAAATTCAAGTGAAAGTTAGAGAATGAACAAAATAAAAAATAAAAATACCCATTATAAGTTTGCTTTGTCATACAAGATCTTTTTTAACTTCTGAGAATTATTTTTTTATTTGTTTTTTCCCTTCAGATCACTATTTAAATTTATTGGGTAGGTTTAGCTACTCTGTAATGTTGCCATAATTAGCTTGACATTATATTATTGAGTTCATTTATTGATAGAAGTATGGTTGAGCTTTAGGGCTGAGCAAGCGATCCGTGAAATCCGTAATCCGATCCAGTCCAGTCCAATCCGATAGGTTTGGATTGATTTTTTGAATCCGCGGTTCGGTTCCGGATTGAAGAATTAAAAATCCGTAGTCTACGGATTGCAAGACTTCTTCATCTTCGTTCCATTTTCTTTCTTCTTTTTCTTTTTATTTTGGAAAACACAACACAAGGTAACAGATATATTAAATTTAGGGTTAATTATATTTAACACCTCTCCACTTTTATCTTAATTTCACTTGACAATTAAAAGTGAATGGACTAAAGTGAGACATTAGTGACAGTGCAAAGATTAAAACAAGATTTTAATAAACATATAGGGACACTAATGAGATGAAAAAAGTTTAGTTCACATGTCAAGTTTTGTTTTGTTTTCTTGTAATATAATTGATTTTTCTGTTCCCAAAAAAAATAGTAGATAGACGGAAGACTACATGATACGACATTGTAACTCGATTTAAAATGTAAGGGATTAACCATCACAATTAAAAGTGAAAGGATCAAAGTGAAATTACAATAAAAATAAAGGGGTGATAAGTGTAATTAATCCTTGAATTTATCTTTATTATTAGGGTACAATCCATTAAATTTACTTAAAATATGAATTATTCCCTATGATTCTAGAAATTATATCATGCCCCTTCAAGTTTCTAAGACATAACAAATTACCTCTTTTATTAATAAATTATCAAGTTAATTAATAGTTTTTAATAATGTCATAAATATATTTTAATTAACAATTCAAGTAATTTTATTGTTGTACAGGAAAATAATTAAGGATTTTATTTTATTTTTTTGTTAATTCTGTTAAGTAAAAAATTTAAATAAAGAAATATTTGTAATTTCTAGAATCACCAATAATAATTTATATTTTAAGAAAATTTCAAAGAGGATATTTATAATTTATCTTAATATATTTTGTTAACATGCAATACTCATGCGCAAAGGTAACTCACACTGTTCAAGTGTTGCATGATTTTATCTTATGAATAAACCTCACCGATCAAGGTAATGACTCATGAATAGTTGCCTCTTTCCTTTGTTGCATAGAAAATCCGCTCTTATTTTCCACATACAAAAGTAATAATCCATTCCAAGAAGTGGCTATGTGGTGTTTTAGGAAATTGAAAAATAAAATTTTTACGAAATCTATTAATTTGATATGTTATACAAATCAATCTACATGATTTGATTAAAAATAAATTTATGAGATGTTGGTGTAAGCTAAAATTAAAGGTAATAGCGTAAATTGCAAAATAACAATATTCGTTAAGCATGTGTAATTCTACTTAAATCACAAAAGAATCTTTTTACTTTCTTTTTTTTAATTACATTTTTTTACAAAAAATTAAAAATTTAACTTTATCTCCTCACACTCCTAATAATACAAAATATATCCCATCTTTTCAAATGCAAACCCTACCCGCACCTTTAACCCCACCTCTGACGTTTAGTGTCACCATAGTCGCCACTACCTCTACTTCCACCTCCGACGAGACTTTGCTTTTACACCAGCAAGCCCTCTTCTTCACAATGAAACTTTTCCGCAACAACTCACTCTTTTCCCTAATTGTGAACCCCTTTCTATTGCAACCTACTGCCCTATCCCTTTTCGCACCAACAAACCTCCATTGTGACCCCTCCACTATTTGCAAACAACCCAAAATTTTTTGCTCACCACCAAAATACTCTCAAATCTAAGGTTTTTAGATTAGGATTTGTGCACCGAAGTGGGAGATAAAACAAGATCTAGGTAAACAGATAAGAGGGAGAGGCGATAGAAGAAGGGGTTGTGGAGAAGTTGTAGAGAAGTTGTAGAGAGATGACAATGAAAGTAAGTGGTGGAAAAAGCAGGGATGAAGAGAACAAAGATAGCCATGATGTATTAGAAAGAGATGGCACCGACAACGTCATTGACAGAGATGACAGTAGTGTAGACTTGGGTGAGAAGAGAAATGATGATTTTGAAAGATTATGGAGTTAAATCTAATCTTGTGCAAAGATAAGATTATAATTTTTTAAAAAAAAAAATGAAAATGAGGAATGTAATAAGTTGAAATGGTTGTGTAAATGAAATTAGCTTATATATGCCAATAAATTTTGAGCTTGGTGAAAGGGTCATGCCATACAAAATAGCAGTAATATAAACCCCCAAGTAATGTTTTCAGCTTGGTGAAAGGGTATAAAATAGCAATAACACAAACCAACTAAGGTAGACTATAGGAAACTAAAAAATCATTATCAAACTAAAAAAAAGATTATAATAGGGTATTGTTGCACTAAAATTTAATTTACAAAAAAAAAAAAAAATCGCAAAAACATCAGACAATTTAAAATTATATTATCAAACTGCAGTAAAATATTAGTTAAAATTAATTTTTCTAACATTTTTAAATGTAAAATTATAATTGCCCTTTAATTTATATTTTTTTAGATTCGCCATTAGTTTATTAGGAATCCCTAAAATTTGATTAAATTTAGAAGCCAGCCCTTATTCGCCTTGGGCTAAGATCGATTCTAGACCGCACGCTACCTAATTTCATAACTAACTCTTTCTTAATTTAAGTTAATACATACATTCTTATTTTATATATTGTATTTTGTCTTAATCATGTTATTGAATAAAATTGTATTATTCCATAATACTTTTATAACAATTTTATAGTGCCAGAAAATCTTGGTCAAGGTCATAAAATGAATACTGCTTGAGAAGAATGCAATTTACAGGCAAAAACAAGTCATAAATGTTTTAAAATCATAAATTCATGAAAAATAACTTTATAAAAACTAAATCGATGGTACTAGGTGTGAACCAATTCATGAATCAACTGTGAATTTATATGTATTGCAAACCGGATGATACACGTACTTCTCATTCTCACTTACATACACAAATACACATCAATACACATCACGTATATGAGCCAATACTGTAATGAAACTCCTCCAATAGTCCACACTATTTCTGTTAGTAACTTGAATGATGATGTTTCAGACTACATGCTTCAAGAAGGAAAAAAAGTAATATAGTTGTACTAGGAATACATAAGATTTTCACATAATAGAACACAAATGTGAGAAAACTCTTTGTCGATTGTCTCACATTTGTGTCTCATTCTTGTTTTACATCTGCATCCCATTTTGTAAACATCTTATGTGCACTTACATTTACTCAAAAAAGAAAAATGTAGTGTCCATCGGTTGTGATTCGTGCAGATAACACTAGGCATTCTACAGAATATCGGGTTTGTTAGTATTGGAGATGAGAGTGAGAGCTTGAACACCAAGTCTTTAATATTTGACAACTCAAAAGTGCAAAAAATGCTAAATTGTAACTTGAAACTCCTTTAGGAGGTTCAGAACTCATAAATGATTAGTTCTTATCTAACTAAACTACAATGAACAAAACTTCATTTGAGAGTATCAAACTGAAACACCCTAGTTTTAGCAAGAACAAAAAGAAACAATTCTACGGGTAAATAATATGTGGAAGCTTTAACTAAAACAAAAACTCCGTGTCAGAAACTTCGAGGACATTGTGGATGCCAATAGGGTTTACACCTGGTCGGAAAGCATTTCCTTCAATATACCTGTGACAACATTTAATCAGTTAGTATTTGACCTAGTGTTGGGTAACTGTATTTTGCTTGTAGTGATTGAAGCAGAAACCCACATTTCTTTCAAGAAAGTGTGCTTATAGAACGCATCGGGGATTCTCCCAGTAAATTGATTATGATCCAGGTACCTGCAGTGAAAGCAAGCTTAAGATGCTGTCCCATACCTACCCAAAAAAAGATGCTGTCCCAGATACACAAAAGCAAAAAGACGCAAAAAAAGGGGAAAAGCAAATTAAATAAGGGAAAAAAAGTATTAATTGTGATAAAAACAACAGTTAAAAAGCCGTGAATCAAAGCCATAAGGGATGAAGAAATCTTCTCAATATTGAAGATTGGGTCACAGATGTCAAGGAACGAAACAAAGTGTATCGATGAAATAAGAAAACTAACTCAACCTTGGTTCCACTAACAAACTAGTTCAAATGGGCCTGCAAACCCAAATAACCTTTCAATATGCAATTGTAATATTGATCACTAGCAAAATTGCCTGTGCTTAACGGTACTTCATCAGTAGGGAAATAACACCAACCGTTAGATTTATTCAATCTTAACCCCAAACTATAACACACAACATTTTTCAAAAACTGATGTGTTTTATTATATAGATTTGTCTTGTCCTTCTTGTCATGAAGACATGATATGTGACTATTTCAAACCATACAATCACATCAGCCAAATTGTGATCCAATGAATAGTATGCCCAGAAAGTGTAGCTCAAAAAGAAAAAATGTCCAGACTTAAAATCCGAACTGCCAAACTTATGTGTATTGCTCTTAGAAAGAGGAAAATCCTCTAGATACATTGCAAAAATAGAACTCCTCATACATAACTGGATCACATTTGTAGAGTGGACAGAAAATTCAAAGATAAACTTACAAGGAAGTCAATCGGGGAATATGAGCAAGTCCAGATGGTATGATACCAGACATTTTGTTGTATGATAAATGCCTGTTACATACATAGCAGTCAATTTTTTAAGATGGTTTCAATTACAACAAAAAGAAATCCAGAAAGAAGATAGATAACACTCTTAATACAGTTAAAAAGAAAATGAAATGCTTACAAGATTTCCAAATTAGTCAAGTTTGCTAGCTGAGCTGGGATTCCACCCGAGAGGTAGTTATTATTCAGATAACTACATATCAGAATTACAAAGGATCGAAAATGGTTTTAATAAGAACTACCATTCTGATAGCCTTAAACTGGAAAATATCGTTTTAAGTGTTTCAAAATTCACTGAAGCATAGACTTACAGGTTGCGAAGAGATGGAAAGCATCCCTCAATACGTATTAGTTCCCTAATAGTTCCCACCAAATGATTGTTACCAACATCCCTATGAAAACATGGTTATCACAGAGAGATTATCTGCAATGAGATACAAATAGTAAAGCATACAAATACTGTAGGGAATAGAACATGAAATTTACAAATGTCGGAGTTGTTGCAGAGTGCCCAATTCTGGTGGAATTCGCCCAATAAAACGATTTTCATGTAGATAGAGGTAACGTAGCAGAGGAAGATTAGCTAATTCTTTGGGGATTTCTCCTTTGAAATTATTGAAACTCAAGTATCTGCAGAAGATTCATTATAACACATTAATAGTATATAGAATAAATAATATGAGAAAATTCCAACAAAACTAATACCCTCAAAGATGATGAAATTACTCACAGATGGGTTAGACTCTTTAGTTCACCTATTTCAGGAGGAATGACATCTTGCAACTTATTCCACCTCAAATTGCTGGAAAGAAATAAGAAAGAAAAATACTGTAAGTAAACAGAAAATTAGAAAACAAAAAAGATCAGAGCAAGTGGGCTAGAGTTCTCAAAATTGGAGAAAATGTTTTCCACATGAAGTGGTTGGAAAAAAAAATTTCAATACAGACAACTTGTTAGTGTATTTGAATACAGACAACTTGTTAGTTAATAATAGGGTTTAAATTATACATCAGCAATTTCAATCCTCAAAGAATGTATTAGCAATTTCAATCCTCAAAAAATGGAACAAATAGAATTATATTCCTAACCTAAGTTTGGAAGGACTACTATCTCCCACCTATCATTAACCTTTTCAGCAATCCTGATGAAATTGTTGAATTTGATTAGTATTTTGATTAAAATTATGAGAAGTAAAATGAATCAATAAATATTGAAATGAAAACCTTGGGAGGGCATCTGGTCTGGCTTTGGAGGCAGATTGAAGGTAGAGATTAACATAGTCAAGAAAAGACTTTACTGGAATACGTTGCCCATTAAGCTCAACCTTCACAGTCTTTCCAATGCATCCCGCCAAGTCAATCACCCGTTTTTTCATCAGGGCAACAACATCATCTTCAAACACCCGATTATAAAAATATATATACATATATATATATATTTAGGTCTCTAACATTATAAAATTGTATTCAATAGTTTGGAATATGTTGGTGATAATTACAAATAAAACATCAGAAAATACAAATAATAAAAATTACAATAACTATTGTAAGGGCTGAAGCGCGGGAAATTCGCTCTCTTTAAGGATATTCAAACCCTCTGCGGTTAGGCAAAGTATTACATGCTCTTGATCACAAACAACCCTTGAACTTACAAGATCACAATTTCAAACTTATGAATTCAAGACCAAATGTTTACCTAGAGGCTCAATCTTCCAAACTATAGCAATTTCTTGAGTTTAATCCTCAAATTCTTCACAAATTTGAGCCAAACACCCAACTCTCCTCTTTTCCCTCTCTCTAGCTGACTCCTTTCTCTATTTCTTGAGTTTAATTCTGCTAAGAAGAATAACAAAGAGGGTATTTGAGTGTATAGTGCCCCACTAAGTCATAATATAATAATATAGAGTAATTGGGCACTAATTCATCAATTTAATCAGCTTAATCTGGTCCGAATCAATTTTTCAATTAAACTTGACCGTAGGCTCTAAATATTATGCTATTCACAATGGCGTAATCAATTTCGGGTTCCGTGGCCGATAAGGCCTTCAATTTAATTTGCAAAGCAGATTATTCAGACAGATATTCCTACGGTGAACAGACAGAAACCCAAAATCACATACATTCACATAATGACATACAAAATCATGTTAAACACATAATCATATTCAAATTAAGGACCAATTAGCATATTACGGAACAAGGGTATCACACAATGCCTTGTAGAGATGCTTTAACACAGTATATGAATCTTAGCCAAATGATAAGGTGAATGCCCATGCATGTTGTAATGCCTCGGAAATTAAGTTGCCCCAATGAAATATGCTCATGTGGGTGTAACCAATATAGAAGAGAGAGAGAATAAGTCCGTAATAACATTAATAAAATTTCATAACTATCTCTTCCCTATTGAACTATTCTAATGATTACATCATGTGTTTGATTACATCTATCAAAAAAATAAAAAATAAAAATAATAGTTAAAAGACAAGAGATAATGTAAAGAAAGAGCCAAAAGGCAAACATCTTTTCAAAGAGTGTCCTTGTCACGACCCAAACCCGCCCCCATAGGTTTAGCATTGTAATCGGCCAGTAATCCTTGGATTACCAAAGGCCTGTATACAAAATAACATATAATTAAGAGGACTAGTGGAAGCAACAATACAAATTACAATGTCCATAGAGCTGTGGAGACATACATGGAATAGAAATCTAAAACTTTATATACATACATGTGACATCATATTTACATTAGTCTTACATCACCAACATATACAGATAAAACCAAAATGGGACTTAGCCTAATATACAGATAAACGAATACTGGTTCAGATTTTAATAAAAGAAAACAAGGTCTTCAACTTAATTCACAAAACTCGACCACATTACTTTTTCTGGAGCCTCCTCAAAAGGCACAATGGTTGGCTAACAAAACAGAAGTCCAGGCAATCATCGTTAAGCCTGGTCATGTGCCAAATCACCTACATACATAAATAATATACTAAGCTGGAGCCCAATGAATAATAACAAGGTAAAGGGTATAATAAATGTTGCCCATAACAAATACAGAAAACAGAATTCAGTTTATATCAAAAGTGGATTCATATTCTTGTTCAGAAATCATTATTCATAACAGAAATGGAATCAGAATCATATTCATAATTAGAATTTACAATTAATCGTACGTGGTACATCCATTAGCACTAACAGATATAGTTGACCTATAAAAGGACAACCATGAAGGCATATAATTGACTTGTGTGCATCGAGATGGTACAGTTGGCTCATGAGATGTTCAGTTGGCCCATAAATGGGATGTATACAGAAGGATCCATAATAGTTGGCTCATGAGACATACAGTTGGCCCATAATTGGGATATAACAGAACATATAACAGATATCATCTGAAGCTAAGGATGCCACGAATACATTTTAGAAACATTGGACAACCATTCATTCATACCAAAAATAATAGTTCAGAAAACAGAGTGTCATATCATTCACAAATGCAAATAGCTGAAAACAGCTTTATAGAGTTATTGCTCACAGTTGGCTCCAATAGCAGACAGATAGAGCAGATAAAGCAGATAAAGCAGAGCAGATAACCAGATAGGCTGCGACGCAGGGCCTATATAAACACAGAACTGATACACATTGGAAACACACGCTTGAAATTCATTTAATTTCTTTCTTTCTTTCTTGTCTAGGTGTGTTTCTAATCTTTATCCCTATTACTATGTCTTAATTAGGGCTTAGGAATGCCTAGGATGTAATGAGGATGCCAAAATGTGTTGTGGAACTCTTAGCCAAATTTTCAAAAACAGGGCAGTCTGCTCAAGCGCAACTTCTGTCGTTCGAGCGGTCTGCAAAGTCTGCAAAAATACTAGTTGCATGATTTTTCCACTCGACGGATGCTTGGTCGTCGCTCAAACGCAAGACTGGGTACACAGAGTCTCCGTTCGAGCGCAACTTCTTACGCTTGAACAGTCTGCAAAAGTTTATAAAACTTCTAGGAGCTCTCTTTTTTCGCTCGATCGCAACTTCGGTCGCTCAAGCGGAAGGTCCAAAATAAGGGTGGTTGCTCAAGTGTAGGTTTTACCGCTTGAGCCACCACCCCCTAAACTCTACAAAAGTACTGGGAGCTCATATTCTCTGCTCGAGCGTAAACTCCACCGCTCGAGTAGAGGGTGCAAATTTTTGGAATTTCCAGATTGCTGATACAAGTTCAAAACTCGATTTTAAACCTTGAAAACACCTCCTTTTGGGTCAAAACTCTAGAAAACACTTATAAATTCGTAATATATCAGGAGTCAAAAGCCAATTCGCAAACTTAAGCCCAAAAGCTTTGACAATTGTACAAAATCAAGCTTGGAATGTTGAAAACATAACATGAACATGTCATGTGTGATATGAATGAGATTCCAAGTCTCCAACTCGTAATCAAACGAGGTGTTCTACTAAAAAACATGGTAAATTCTTAAACCAAAACCAAAATATGAACATGCATGGGACAAATTCTTAGTCAACATGCTCTAAATGCAATGTAATGCACATGCATATATGTATACTCTTCTCTTCTACTACATTAATGCACATGCATATATGTATACTCTTCTCTTCTACTACATTAAGCTTAATTCTTGCCTCAATTCACTTAATTCTTTTGAATAGATGTGTTAAGTACCCAAATTGTAGAACTAAAGGATTGATTTCTTACCTTAGGCGCTCAATTATGGCTTAGATGCGTAGACGTTTTCAGCTCACAAGTTAATTCTTCAATTTACCTTCCAAGTCTCTCCAATCCTCAAGCTTTAGATGCGATTTCCTTGGTCTCACCCTCTCTCTCATGTTTATGCTCAAATTGGATGGAATGGAGTGTTTATGAGAAGTTTCTTGAGTTAATTAGGCCTTATATAGGCTCATTAGGGAAGCTTAATTAAAATTGGTTTCAGACTAATCAAGTAACATTATTTTATTCTAATTATTTGATTCCAAATCGAATTTCAATTAAATTCATCATAAAATTCTAAAAATCCTAAATAACACATAATCTTAGTCAGTTTCATATTCTATAATGCCCCGAAATAACCCAACACAAATTAGTACATTAACCAACGTCCATTAGGGAATAAAGGTAAATCTCCAACCTTTACATCATTAATCAATAAAGTTTGTACAAAAGTTCCACATGCGAATTATACATTCGATGGTATGAAAATACATGAATCTATAGCATGTAGAACATCAAATCCCAAAAATAATAAAATGCCCTCATGGGGTTACAATTTCCAAGGCTCAAGCCCGGTTACACAAAAATGGTTTCACGAACCCATATATTTATAGCCGTTGGCTAGCAAAATAAATCACAACAAAAGAGAGTCATTTACTCTTCACAAAATGTGTCCACACCCTCAACTAGGCGGGATCACCACTTTTGGTCCTGCACCAAAATCCCATAGGGGTGAGCATAAAGCCTAGTAGGGAAATCCTTCACAAAGTATATACATTTTGTACAAGCCTCATAAAAAGAAATACATATGCCATGTTATGCTTCTGACATGGAAATCACATTGTTATCTTTTAAAAGTCCTTTATGCTTAATGATATCTTGATAACTCAAAAGAAATGCACAAATTATCAATTTAATTCAAGAGGGGCGGTAAATACGACTCAGGTAATCCCTAGGTTGGTGTCTGCAAGTAGGCATAACTAGCTCTGCCAATACCCCACTTTACCGGTTGCTAACTGGAAGGGAAATGGTACCTCCTCCGCGCGTGTTTTCGGCCTTTCACCCCGGACACTCAGGCCAACTTAACCAATTTCATCTACACCTCCTATCTAGACTTACCAATGTATTTACCCCAAAACATTTCAATAAAAATTTATTATAAACTTCTTTTCCCATGAGAATCAAAATCCCCATTTCTCTTTTCCATGCCATTTCACAAATAACCACATATTCATCTAATTTTATTGATAAATAGCAATATTTCTTTATTTCCTACTTCCCTTAACATTATAGCCCTCACAAGACCACACCAACAATAAACAACAACTACAACATTCACAATTCTCATGCCCCATGAAAATCATCATTTAGTACATAACAATAATAAAAGAGTTCTCATCCTTTACTCATTTTAGCCCACAAAATAACTTATTAACAATGTCAATCACAAACTCCTCTACAACTTTTGAAAGCCCCAATTTCAAGGTTTTTCTCAACCACACCACACACACCAATCTTTTGAAAGAATTTCCTTAAAATCATTTCTTCCTAGCCAATGTAATTTAAAACCTTCAAGAAAATTATTTCATAGAAAATGCGGAGCAAAACCCCTCCCAAACTACCCACATTGTTGAGCTAACCATCAATACT